GTGCAGACGAGATGCTAGCTTAATCACGCGTGCCGTGAATTTGAGACATCGGAACACAGAAGCCAAAGTACCTGTCTGTGAACAAATAATGGAAATGATCTCCGAGAGACAACAAAGCTGCAGCCTTCTCCACCTCAGCAGCAAATGCGGTTGGACCTGACGGATGGAATGAGCCGAGAGTCTAGAATTTATATACCGTGGTTGCATTGCAATATATGAACAAAACCCAAGAATCCATGAGTTTTCAAAAAAAAAACGAGCATTCAAAATCAAATGAGGTTGTAACGCGATTAAATGTTGAATAGCATCAAAGAGTAGACCTTACATCAACGAACTGCTCAACGTTATTTATTTCGTCAGACTGGATGAAAGAAAGGAAAGCAAGATCCTTCTGAAGCTCAGTGAGTTCATCGGTGATGTCGAACGTAGCATGAGTGTTAGTAGCAACGTCGTCATCTTCACTATGGGTAGTCGTCTCCAACACCAAAAGATTCGAGTCCGCCATACAACAATTCTCGAGAGAATTCTTCAAATAAAAAACAATTGACTCCCAAAAAATGAGAAACACATTCTTATTTGAATCACCTTGGCATTCTCAAGAGATAGAGCAAAATGTGGCCGAATGGGCATTCCTTTCAGAACCACCTCGACGATTTGACGTCGGATTTGCGCAGTCTGCGCCATTAGCAAGTAGAAATCGGCGATTTGTCGAATCTTGAAGAAGGAACTCAGGGAGATTGAACAGTACGAAAATGGCATAAAAACTGCAACTGACCTCAGTTGGTCGGATAACTTCGTGAGTCCAGCTGGGATCAAGAAAAGCTGTGCTCCATTCGTCAATATCATGACTTTTGAGGAATTGGTTGAGACGACCACCATGCTCCTGCCGAACTGCACCTTCTTCGGTAGCTGCGCGATAGAACACCTCGGCAAAGTTCTAAAACAGCAAAAATTAGGCCCTTCTACTCAACAATCTCTCGTAGCACATCGAACCTCGACATCAGCAATGTCATCTACACGATGATAGCACTTCTTGTCCTCTGAGTAAAATCCTGCATTTCCCAGTTGCACCTGAAATCGAATAACAGGTTGCCCGATGAGTGTCGTTTGTCTCCAGATAGAAATTTTTCAGTTTTAAGTCAGTCAGCTCATTTCATTCCTCGTTTTCTTCTTGTTCTCGTCATATATAATTTGAGAAAAGTAGTAGAAGTGAACTCAAGCTCATATGAGCAAAAAGTAGACGTCCCAGGCGAAAAACGAATTCAAAAGTGCTTTGACGTCCACCACAGAGAAAAATTGCAAAAAACTGCTTTCTCATGAATCGGAATTATACCACTATACCCCCCCCCCCCTGACCCCTACGCATTCGATACTGCTGTGAAAGATTCGTATCATTCGCGTTCTGCATATCACTCAGAATTTACGTGTATTAGGCGAGGCGGCCGTGTTCGCAAAATCGCTTCTGTCCCACGTGGTCAAAGAGCCGAAACGCGCGTATCGCCAATGTGATAAGTTTTAGGTCGAGTTTTATGCCTACGTCACAACGTGACCAATCCACGAGAATGATCGAATTACTCCAAAGATCCCCCAAAAAGATGATGAAATCAATTAGACATGCTTTTCAGACTTAGTCACGACTTCTCCAAAACGAGATAGCGGTTAATTTTTGAGTTCTAGCGGAGAAACCAAATTTGAAAGAAGAGCGTCACGAGGACTATATAACGGGTATATCACTGATCGATTTCTCCTAGAGAGAAAAAAGTTGGAGCTAGTGCCGGTTTGGCTTATTTGCGCCGATTAGACTTCCCAATTAGCAAGGTTGAAATTCAAACTGCAATGCAGTGAAAGAACGCAAGCATGGAACGGCAGTTTCAAAGGGATCCTAAATAGAACGACTGCTTCGCACAACTAACCTCAGTTCCGGCTCCCGAGGAAAGCAGTCCATCAGTTTCGAATCGCAGTGGCCTCCAGTCCGGATGTGATTCACTTCGAATAGTCTCGTTGATATGTTTCGCCAACTCAAGGCAACTGTCCTACAACAAGAAAGAATGGCATAAAATGTAGTCAAGTGCGAACTTTATTTTACAACTACAAGGGAGGTCTTTCAGGGCAAGCCGCGCTTTTTGGAAACGGTTTCTTGCATATTGTAGGGACGCATGTATGGACCACAAAACCATGTTTCGTTTTCGCTGAACGGTTTTAGTAGTACCAAAAAAGTGGTGAATGATACCCTTGATGGTTCGATCCCCCGCGGCGACTAAATTTTGCAATCAAGGTTGGCGGCCACTTGTTGGCTTCAAAATGGTCCTGACGATGAATTTGACATCTGATTTTGATATTTAGCGCGATTTGGCACCAACCGTAGGCGCCAACCCAAATGCAAAATTTAGTCGCCACGGGGGATCGAACCTTAACAGTACCTTATGCTTCTTTTTTGGTACTGCTATAACCGTTCAGCGAAAATGAAACATGGTTTTGTGTTCCCTACATGCGTCCCTACAATATGCAAAAACCGTTTTGAAAAAGCGCGGCTTGCCCTGAAAGACCTCCTTGTGAGGCGCGGCTGACACCTAACATCATTTACCTGATATCTTTTGTACGATTCCACAGCGCGCCTGTTTGTGACCGCAATTTGGTAGAGCACATCTAGGCCTTTCCTCTCTGGATGCTTTTCAAAATACCTAGAAAGAGATCTACTATAGATTGCTACATTACGGACTTCACGGAATTTGAAATAATACCTCTTCCACGCTCTCAGCTTCTCCATAATACCCTTGGTGTAGTCAAACCTCTCGACAGAGAAAAAGAAGCAGCCTCCTTCACCGCTATTGGACAGTACCTGAGAAAAGCTGTGAATAACGAGAACGAGATATGTAGATGAATCTTCAGACATGATTGACTGAAAAAAAACCAGGCATACTCCTACAGCACCCTGATAAATATAGAACAGTAATTTTCCATTTTTGTCGTCCGTGCGTCGGCCTGTTCTACGTCTGATATTTGGGCCAGAAAGTTGGTACCAACCAGAGAAGCTGGGGAAAGCAACTGTGCGCGCGCCATATCACGGAGAGCTTAACCAAAACGATTACGGTGCGCTATATACCTTGATTATGGTGCTACGTGTGGACTAGCGAGAGAATAGAGATGAGGTTTAGACAGTCGATATGTACCCGATGATGAAGTGCACTGTTAGTTCATTACGCTGTAGCCCGAACGCGCTGATGAAAGGTAGCACACGCTATACGGCATGTGAAAAACTTATAAAAATAGTCCCACATCTCGCTTGATTTCCTGAGCTTCAATGGCGCACTGAGGTTCATTGGCAATTGACAGGAAGTCTTCGTTCTTGATCGATACGGGGAACACTCCCAATGAGCACGTCCAACCCTGCAAGCATTCAATGCATTACATAACTGCGAACAATTTCAAAATT